ATATATATACATATAACAAACCTCATCATTTTAACCATTTTTAAGTTTGTAATTCAAAAGGCATTAAGTACATTGTACAACTACCACTGCTATGCATCTCCAGAACTTTTTCATCATCTCAAATGGCAACTCTGTAACCACACCACTAACCCCCTAATGTCCCATTCCCCATCCCTCGCTCCCAGGTGACCTCCAGTCTACTTTCTGTGAATTTGCCATGCTAGTGGTCTTATACAAGTGGACTCATACAGCATTTTTCCTTTTATGTCTGGCTTGCTTCCCTTAGTATAATGCTTCAGGGTTCATCCATGTTGATGCCTATTCAGAATTTCACCCCTTTTTCAGGCTGAATAATCTTCCACATATGGCTATGTTTATCTTTATCCATTTATCTGCTCATGGACTCCTGGGTTGTTTCCACTTTTTAGCTACAGTGAATAATGCTGCTCTGAAAGACACTGCTCCCAGTGGCTTAAACTTCAAACGACCCCAGGTCAACATCCTTCACAGCAAAAGATCATCACATACCACAGAGAAGAGCTTTCGCTGCAGTGGTTGATATGACATCACTTCCCTCAAAGTCCAGGTATAAGCCATGTTTGGTCTCTGTCCCATTCCGCTGCAGGGTGCATCAAGGAGAATTCGGTCAAAAGATTCTGGTGAGAACGGAGGGGCCCCTATACAGAGAATCATAAAAATATTTGCCATTTGTCATACTGGTTTAAAATAGGAAACTCTTAGATATAAGCAATGATCAGGAATTTAATGTAGTGATTTACTAAGAGCCTGTCTCACAATGCGTAATAATAAAAGGGCTGGGGATGTAACTCAGTGCCAAGGCTCTGGGTTCAATTCCCAGTACTACCAAAACCAAAACCAAATAAAAGTATTATTTGGAATTTTAAAAAAAAGATAATCTTCCCCTTTGAGTGGGTGGTAAAGCTAATACTGACATATTTAATATAGATTTGATGAGGTTTAAAAATGTGGGGTTTTTTGTAGGAGACAGGATCTCACTATATAGCTTAGGCTGGCCTTGAATTCACTGTGTAGCCCAGGCTGGCCTTGAATTCACAGCAATCCTGCTGCCTCAGCCTTCCAAGTACTGGAATCACAGGCATGCGCCACCGTGCCAGGCATAAAACCATGGTTATTATTGTTGGGGGTTATTTTTTTTTAATACAGTGTAAACGTAGACCCAATCAAATGAGACCCTATACTCCATGCATTAGAAACCACGGTTCATCAGAGCCAAGACTGAGAAATAATTCTAGTTATGTTGAAAATTGATTTCTCTCCGTAATTCCTACTGCAGACAGCTCCAGAAAGAGAGTCCGTTCGGCTACAGTATTCACACTGGTTCGTGTCCTGTTGCTCCTCGGTGTCCTTGTTGCTCCCACCATCGCTCTGGTTGTGGACTAGAATGAGCCTTGTTTCAGCCTTTTACAAGGAACCCTGTGCATTCACTGGAATAATTTTTGCAATTATTCCAACTGCAAATTCACCCAATTCCCAATTCCTGGTCTGGAGAAGTCATGCAACAAAATGGTCTGTGCATACCTTCCTGTCATCCAAGCAAGACACTTTTGTTTAAAGCCGCTTGATCCTACAGAACCCACAGCACCATTCCAAACTTCACCCTAGTGCCACCTTCTGCTTTTTACTGATCGCAAAGCTATGAGACACAAGCAATTATCAATCTATCTCATCTCCCTCTCTAACCATCTTTGTTCTCTTACCTATCATCTCAGAAGAAACGCAAAGATGTTATTTTTTGGACATATACTGGTAAAGTTCTCTCGAAATACTATATCAATTTACCCTTAAATCATCATGAGTGTGCTTGTTTTCCCCAATCTTCATCGAACCTGGTTTTTATTTTATTGGCCATTTGTGTTTTTATCTGTACATGGGTATATCCTCTGTCGGCCCTATTTCTACTAAGACCTCTCACTGACTAGCAGAAAAGACGCAATGAAGAGGATAGCGGGGACAGTTTTACATTGTTCATATCACCTCTCCTTCAACCCCAAGCAGCACAGAATACAGAGAAAACTCCTCTGCCTGGGGGAAAGAAAGGGAAAGTGATCAATAGGATTTTAACCCCAATTTCAGTAACAGCCCCATCCTAATAAAACCAAGTATCTGGCAGGACCTCACAGCCCTACCTTCCAGGCCAGTCCATGTAGCCCCACACCCCCAGCATGCTCCAGGAGGCCTCAAAGCTGAGTCCTTTGCAGCAGATCCCACTGCTGCACTGCCCTCACCAGGGACACCCTGGGGATCTAGGTTGCAGTCTGGCTCCCAGAACCCAAGTCACCCTTATGGACCTAGCCACCAAGCCAGTACCTGGGTACCCACGCTCTAGACCAGATTTTGTGGATTCTGACTCCAGGTCAGTCCCCACAGCACCAGAGTCTAGGGCAGTCACCAGGGTTTCAGGGATAAGATGAATAATCATGATCGCAGATGTCAGACTAATCCCTACAAACCAGAATCTGTCTGCTCCCATTCCAAGTCCACTTTCATGGACCCAGGCTCCAGGCCTGTTCCAGCAGACCCCAAATCCAGCCCTGTCCTACTAACCCCTGGTGCTAGGCAGGACCCCATAGGCTGAGGCTCTAGGATAGTGATGGCGAACCTGTTAGAGACTGAGTGCCCAAACTGCAAACCAAAACCCACGTATTTATTGCACAATCTCAACACTCCAATTAAACCTGAATACTAAGTTTTAGTTTAGAAAAACAACTTGGCTCGCATGCTGACACGGGTCTGCGTGCCTGCTGGGGAACATGTGCTACAAGTTCCCCATCAATCCTCCAGGAGCACTAATGTCAACTCAAACTTCAGGCCAACCCTAGAGATCTAATCCAAAACCCCTGACTAAAGGTGCAGGCCCAACTATTGACAGATAAGCCCCCTGGACTCAGGAATCAAGATTATCTCAGCACCTGACTATAGCCTGCAGAATAAGGATCAGTCACCCAGTGCTACATCACCTAAGGGAAGCACATGTGGTTATAGGCTCCCCCTACTGCGACACATCTGCCCAGAAAGTCAACCCCAGTGGACCCAATCTTTACACAGGCTCACCAAAGGTATCAGGTCACCCTGTCCAACAGCTCCAGCAGTGAAACAGCTCACAGACAGCGCAACTGGGTTTCCCAAAATGGACAGATGAGCTAGAAGGCGTTCCTACCCAAGGCAGCCTGCAAAGACCGTAAATCCCTGCTTCCTGAAACAGGCAAACACAAATCCACAGCTGCAAGGATTAAGAACAAATCGAGAAACATGGCACTAATAAAGGAAAAAAGCAAAAAAAGCACCAGGAACTCACCCTCAAAAGAGGCAGGTTTAGGAGCTGGGGATTTAGCTCAGCGGCACAGTGCCTGCCTGGCAAGCACAAGGTTGTAAGTTCGATTCCCGGTACCACAAAAAAAAACACAAAAAAAATAAAAAAATAAAAAAAAAGAGAGGCAGGTTTAGGAACTACTAGACGAAGAATTCAAACTGATACCATGGAAATATAAAAGATCATAAAAAAACTACTATAAACAACTATACACCAATGAACTGGGTAACCAAGAAGAAACAGATTCCTAGACACAACAACCACCAAGACTGAATCATGAAGAAACAGAAGATCTAAATAAACTAAGCCTGAATCTATAAAGAAAAGCCCATGACTTGATGCCTTTACCAATGTGTGCTACTAATCATTTAGAGAAAAACTTAATATTAATCATTCTCAAACTCTTCCAAAAAACTGAAGAGAGAATATCTCTAAATTTATTTCATGAGGCCAACATTACCCTGATAAAAAAGCCAGTCTAGAAAAAAAATTACTTCAATATCCTTGATAAACATAGATGCAAAAATCCTCAACTAAACATTAAAAAATGGAATCTAGCAACATGACCAAATGGCATTTACTCCAGGGATGCTAGCACAGTTCACATACGTAAATCATCACACTACCTGATTTCCAAATACACCACAAATGTACAGGGATCAACACACCATAATACAGACAAAAAGCCAGACATGTCAACCAAGCAAACAGGACAGTGTCAAAATAAATCCATGCATGACAGACACAGTCAGACCTTGGTACTCAACTGCTTTGAAATGCAACAGATTTGGGACTCAATGCATTCCAATACCTCCGTCCTTTCTAGCCAAAAGAGTCTGTTTGGTACTCATCATTTCTGGTATTCACTGGGCCTCCTGGAACCAATTTAATGTACTTAACCAAGGTATCATTGTAATTGATTTTTGATAAGGGTGCCAAGAATATACAATGGGGGCAAGGACAGTCTCTTCAGTAAATGTTGTTGGAAAAACTGAATATCCACATGTGGAAAATGAAACAATCTTTATCTCATACTATATATAAAAGTAAGTTCAAAATGGATTAAAGACCTGGAAAATGTAAAATACAATAGAAGGAAAAAACAGAGGAAAAAGTCAACACCAGTCTAGACAATTGTTCTTTCAGTATGACCCTGAAAGCACAGGAAACAAAAGTAAAAATAGACAAATGGGATTACATCAAAGTAAAAAGCTTCTGCACAGCAAAGGAAAAGTCGAGACTCCCACACAATGGGAAGAAGTATTTGCAAACTATACACATCCAGGAAGAGTCCACTGCTCAAAATACATAACAAACTCAAATAACTGAATAATAAGAAAATAATCCAATTAAAACATGGGCAAAGGACAGGAACATTCCCACAAGAAGGCAGTGACAACAAGTACAGTACATCAAAAGATGCTCATCACTGATCACCAGGGAAACGCTCACCAAAACCATCATCAGACATCCCCTCACCCATGGTAGGACAGCTAAAGAGCAAAGATAAATTGGTGACTGCTGCAAGTGTTATTGGGAATGTAAATCAGTAACACCATCAAAATGATACAGTTCCTCAAAAAAATAACAATAAAATGACCACATAATCCAGCAACCCCACTAGTAGGAATATATGCAAAGAAATTTAACTAGATATGCCAAAGAAATACCTGCACCCCATGTTCATTACAGCATTATGCACAATAGCCAAGATATGAAGTCAACCCAAATATCTACCCACATAGATGAATGGTACAGAAAATGCAATACATATACACAGGTGCACTATTCAGCCTTTTGAAAAGGATATTCTGTCATTTGTGACAATATGGATGAATCTCGAGGTCATTATGCTGAGTAAAATAAGCCAGGCACCAAAATACATACATACATACTGTATGATCTCATTAAAAAACTCAAACAGATAGAAGCAGAGAGTAGAACAGGGGTTATAAGAGACGAGGAGAAAAGGCAAGGAACGGGGAGGTGCTGTCCAAAAGGCACCAACTTCCTAGACAGGAAAAAGAAATTTTTGAGATCTACTGCATAGCCCAGCAACTGCACTTAAGAGGAATGTGTATTTCAAGACTGCTAAGACTAAATGTCAAATGCCTTACCACAAAAAACAGTAATGGATGTGCTAACCAGCTTGTTTTGATCACGCCACATTTACATATACTGAGTATCGAAACACTGCATGGTAAACCATAAATACATACAACTATGATTTGTCAATTAACAATAAAAAAAATTTAACTTACCTTCTGCATCCACAATCATATCAAGTTTAAGGGCCTTTGTTCCATCAAAGCAAAATGCTTTGATGGAATTCAATCCTAACAATGAAGCATTCTGCTTTATTTTTTCTACTTTGCTGGATATTTTATCCAGGGCTATCACTTCTCCCTAAAGAAAATAAAATTTAAAAAGCAAAGCATAAATCCAAAGCAGCCATGAAAATACAAAATTAACTTGGGGAAAAAGTATGGTCTTCCCCACGTCCCGCCCACTTGTACTTTTACAGCTGTATTCCTTCACCGAGTATGTATCAGACTCACACCAAAAACTGAGATTTTCCTTTAAAATAGTATTCTTGTCAGGTAATTAATCTTCTTACAGCTAGCTTCTTTTAATCAAAAGAAATCAAAATTTCAAGAAGTATTTGCAACCCACTCCAACTTGAAAAGCACCCACTGAAAGCAAACATTAAATATCACCTATTTGATGTGATTGCTCACCCACAGAAGTACATGAACTAGTGCCCTGAGACATCCGACCCGAAGTGCCTTTATAGGCAAATGAATGTCATTTGTAAAATCAGCCCTCTTTTAATATTTTGAGCTATTCACATACAATTACTGTGAGTTCTGGCAATTAAAGCCAGAAAAACAGAAGCCAAAAACCTGCATATCTCAGCAAAATATTCTGGCATAGTATTAAAAAAGTTAAAAACAAATCACCATATATGGTAAACATGTCAGTAAAGTCAAAGTCAAGAAAGACAAGAGACCACAACTGAGGCATGCGTTGTTGACATTTGTGTGGTATTTTAAACATACTACGCCACAATATTATGACGTAAGACATTAGATTGTTTTTTTTTCTTGCTTTTGTTCCACGTATGTGTGTGCACATATATATCATCCTCATATGATAGATACATCAAATTTTCAGCTACACAAGAGAAATAAACGTATAAATAAATCTGCTGATAAAGAACATTTGCTGACGATGCTCCCACACTGTGACAGACACTGCCTGGGGCTCAGCCTTGTCACCTGTTTGGCCGTCGGGACCTTGGTCAATGTGACGCAAGCACAGGGCTCAGCTTTGCTCTCTGCCGTCACCAGTCCCCAACTACAGCCCTCTCCTGGGCTCACTCTCATGTCCTAGCAGGCCAGACACGGAGCAGAAAGGCGAGGCATTGTCACAGTTGTCTCAGTTGAAGTCACTTTAGAAAAGTGAAAACCATACAAACCCAAGTGCATGACCCAACCCAAAATGGCCAGCACCGCCTCACTAAGCTGCAGCTGGCTAGGTACACAGCAAGCCCAGGGGGCGTCAGCTGAATCACACAGACTCCTCAGCCTAACAACTGCTTACGTGTGTGCTACTAGGGTTATATTTTTTACACTGCATTACAAAGCCAGCTGGTTGGAAAGACTTCTTACGAGAGAAAATAAAATGACTTTAAGAAACGAGAACAAATATACCATACAGGGGGGTTACTATCACTTTCTCAAAGCATATCACAATCTAATTTAAGCTTCCATATAGACTGAAGAAGGGTTTGCATTAAACAACACAAAAATGGACCTTTGTATTTCATGTGCTTCATTTTATGCAGATGGGCATTTAAGGCATTTTTCTGTCAAGAGTTTTTCCTGCTACTACTTCAATTCTTGAAGTATACCTTTTTCTATATTGCTTACTATGTAATACCAAGAGTAGGGATGCCTCAAAATTTAAACAAGTATCTTTTCCTATTGGAGAGATTTCTAAAAACCAAGGCTACCTGTTGAGATTGTATGAAGGCTACTGCAAATTGCGTGGGTAGTGATTATACAGTACCTGTATACATAGTGAATGTGTGTGTAATGCAAAGGTAAGTAGTGCTGGGCCTTCAATTTATTTACTGAAAATATGAATCTTTAAATATATACATATTTTTGGTTGTAGCACTGAATGTTTCAGAAATTCTAATGAAGTTATGTACTAAAGTGTAATGAGAATTTTCATCAAAAGTCTCTGGATAATTAATATGCTAATAAAATGAAACCTATAATTTCATCTCAATGACAGATGCTTCTACTTTTTTCAATGGACTATTGCTTGCAAATCCCTTGAGATTCTTAAGTATCATCAAATGTAGATCAAAAATAAATTTGGCACTTTGGGGGTGACACTGTCTTCTATCAAGTAAATCAGCAAGAGCAAAAGGGCTTTCGGAAGTCTGATGGAGGTATGGTTTCCATGTCAAAGTCTTGCCTAGTCAAATATTTTCTTATCTGTACGTTAGCATCACAAGCATAACTTCTGGGTTTCCTAGGTTCCTAAGACTTCCTGCCACTGTATAAATGTGAATTAACTTAGAGAAGCAGTAACTGTTCCAGTGCCTCAGCCTTTTCATGTCCTTGCTGCGGTCTTTACCCATCTGAGAGTCTGGAACGCATCACAAGCAGGACTTTGTACACATACATCAATTCTCATGCTCCTCTCTCTTGCAAATACACATGATGAGACCACATGACTAAATAAGTTATTCAGCAAGTTCATATCTACCCCCACGCAGCCAAAAAGCTTACAACCATCCAACTAATCCCACTATAAACTCCTGACAGATACATTTGTGAGGCCCTCTGTAGAACTGGATTCTTATGATGTGTTCTACTCTTGCTTGCTGACCACCTATGTCCATTCCCATCCAGTGATCTTGTTTCCCATTTCACTGAGAAAACCAAGAACTTTGCCTTCTGCCATGCCTACCTCCCCAACATTTGCATCCATCGACTCAGCCCTCCCTCTTATTTCCACGGATCACTGACATGTGCTAACATCTGAAGCCACTTGTGCATCAAATATTAGCCCGTTGCACCTGCTCAAGGACATTCCGGCAATTATCCCCTGTCCTTGGCACTGCCACATTTTTTTGATGTATTACTCTCATTAGCATACATTGTTATGATTTATTTGTATAAGTCTGTAGTATAGAACATTCACAACCTTTCTGGGGAACTGCTACATGTACATAACACGTCTTAATCCTTTTTATCTCGCTTTTCCCTTACCTCCATCTGCACTGCATCCATCTCTTGACCCCCTTCCTCCTTTTCTACACAGTCTGTAGTACGTAATGTTTATATTCCTTCTGGGAAGTTGCTGCATATACATGGTACATCTTAATCCCTTTTCCCATGGCCTTTTCCTCCCTTCCCGAACTCCTTCCTCCATAACTTGACCCCCTTCCCCTTTGAGAAAGCTCTATCACTCGTTATTTCTCATCTTAAAACAACACATACTTCCCGAGCCCCATATCGCCATTTCTGTTTTCTGGGATTTCATCTACCCCTAACGGCAGTTGTCTTCACTCACTCTTTGGTTTTTCTCCTTCTCAATCATGCATTTAAACTCATCAAGGACCTTTAACGTACTGCTAAATCCAGTGGGGGTTTTCAGTCCTCTTCCTTCTTGGCTTATTAACATGTGACAAGGGGCCTCGCCATCTTTTTCAATCCCTTCCTCACAAGACTTCCAGGTAAGCAAACTCTTCTGTTTTCTGCCTGCATTGCCTGCCATTCCTTGTAATTTCTCCAGCCGGTGAATGCTGGTATTCACCACTTATGATGCTCCCTCTTCGGAGCTCTTCCACTCTCTTCTCCATCAGCCTGTCTGAGACCACGCCCCTGGACTCTAGACTCCGTATACTGCCTGCTCATCCAGGACTGAATCCAGGGCCGAGCACACACTAGGCAAGAACCTACCATTGAGCCTCACCCTCAACCCTGCAATAACGTCCGAACACAGAGAACTCCAGCCTACAATAAACAACTCAGCAAATCCACACACACAGGAAAACAAAGTAAAATCGAAACTACAATTACCAAAAGTCAGACTTATTTAAATTCTGTGCTCATGAAGCAGGCTTTAAAATTAAGCCAGATCATAAAGTTTATATGATCCTCAAGAGACACATATATTCTATGTACATGTATATACATTATCTATGTATGTGTATATATTACTTGCGCTACCTATTGAGTTCAAAACTAGCCTGGACTACATAGTAAGATCCTGCCTCAAATAAAAAAAAAAAGTCTTACAACAATCCTTAAAAATAGCAATTATCTTTTTCTCTTTGTTTTGAAACAGTGTCTCCCTACACAGTCTGGTCTAGCCTTGATCTCTGTAGCCCACACTGGCCTTCAATTCACGGTAATGCACCTGCCTCGGCTTCCTGAGTGCTGGGATTACAGGTGTGTACCACCATGCCCAGGTATAAATGGCAATTATCTACTGAACTTAAGATAGAGTGACTGACATAACTCAATAGTCCTCACTTTGGCTGAATATGAAATAAATAGGATTATGAGTAATATATAGGTCCACCTTCACCACTGAAATATGCAATATGCTGACAGTACTTTCCTTTGGAAGACAGACTCACCTGGTCATGCATTAGTGCTGCAATATGTGTTGTTTTACCTCCAGGTGCTGCACACATATCTAGAATCTTCTCTCCGGGTTGAGGATTCAGAACACGAGTTACTACAGCAGATGGTAAATTCTGTAAGAAAAATGATACAATTAAGTTTCAATGACTCTAAATCAATTTTAATTTCAGAACAGAGAATGTAAAGAAATCTTTCAAGATAATTCAGTACGGCATCCTCAGATCTGCTAGAGGTTTTTTTTTCTTCTTTTTTTGAGACACAGTCTTGCCCTGAAGTTCAGGCTGGCCTTGAGGTCACTTTGTAGCCCAGGCTGGTCTCGAAATTGCAACGATCCTCCTGCTTCAGCCTTCCGAGTGCTGGGATTTCAGATGTGCCCCACCACGCCCAGCTAAGCAGAGTTTTTATAAATATACTAATGTCAAGAAATTCAAAACTTCCTAGAGTATACTCTGAGCTCACGAGACTTCCATAACACACCCATACATAAAAACACAGGACACATGTTCTACTCAATTCACTCAACAGTCAATTGATGGCAATTTTCTACAAATGAATTACCATCATCATCTACAGTAGTTCTCAATCCTGACTACGCAATAAAACCACATGGCGAGCTTGGGAAAAAAATCTGGTCCTCATGCAGAAAAGTTACATGAGGATTTCCAGCAATGGGGTTAACAGTGGCATTTTAAAAATCTTCCCCGTGATTCTAACCATCACTAGCCTAGTGTGTCTCCAACTTAGCTGCACGATCACCCAGTGAAGTTTCTCAGTGTCCCCACTCAGGCCCTATCCAGGAATAACTGAAACCGTTTCAGATGACAGGTCCCATACAGCAGGATTCATTTAGTGCCCCCTTGATGGTCCACCCTCATCTGACTCTTAAATCCACCATTTACAGGAAAACGGGAAGTTAGAAAGTTCAGTTTTAGGGATCAGTTTTTTTTCTTCCAGTTCAACTACAATTATAGATACACAGTCAGCCAGAAATGACCTATATATCTGGGTAAGTGGCAACAGGACCTTAAGAAAAATTCTAAGAACAGTCATGGTCTAGATATCTTGAGTTTGTGGTCCCCACACTTCCTGAGAAGAGCACATCCTACCCCCTTGCAAGTTCCCCCTCCTACTCATGTCACACCTGCCGGTCCCACGGTCACACCTTGGGACGCCAGCGCCAGGTAGAGCTGTGGTGGCCCTGTTGATCAGTCAGGACCTGCTGACTTGTATTTGTATTGTGCCTTTAAACTCCCCTGAGGGATTTAGGTTGCTGTACTGGTTCCAACCAGACCCACAAACTCATCCTCCTGGCATGAGGGCAGAGACTCACAGCTGATTGAAAGAAAGCTGCATTAATTACCACACCCTAGCCATCGCCCAAATTCTAAGAAAAAAAAAAAAACAGAAAAACCAACTGTAGACCTCACTGCAGTAGCCATCTCTGGCAGGTCCCTGCCTCCTTCTTGAGAGGGTATTTATTATCTGACCTGTAACATTTAGCCTGGATTAGAGTGTACTGTATCTGAATAAATATGCTTGCTACCAACTCCTCCCTTTTGACTCTGTCCACTCCTGCAGACTCCCCTGCCAATCCTCCCAGGGAGGAGTCAAGAGCCCCGCCCACCAGGATCCCAAGCACTCCAGGCTGACCCCAACTTCCCAGTAGCAATAACTGAAAACAGCTGTTACAACTATTTAAGCCTCTGTCTCACTCTGACTTCCACTGTGAAGAACACCTAAGATTTTCTTAATTCTGGGGATTGTGTTTAAGCTTTCTAAAAGTTTCCTTTTCAATTTTTTTAAAAGACCCAAATGATATTACAGCTTAATGAATTGTTATGACTATGTACAACACTCCCATTAACTGTAAACCTTGTATCTCTGGGCAGCTTCAGGTGCTAAGAATAAAAATAATACCACTAGACCCTCACCATGTCCTCTGCTCCTCACCAAAAAAAGAAAAAACCTCAATGTAAAGTTTTGTACCAGCTGTTGAAAGCAACAAAAGATACAGATTTCCAGGGAGAATGGTTTTTCAGGGAAAGGCAGGGAAAACACCTCAGAAAAGGAAGAAGAAACCCACCAAAGCAAATTTCCTTGAGATTTCCACACTTCTATACAGCAGCTTCAGTAATCACAGTGAACAAAGAGCTCTTACCTGTCAACTCTTGTGTCTATCAGAGTTTCTTCAGAGTATAACTTCACAAGTTCCCTGGTGACTGAACATCAGTCAAGAAACTGTCAGTTTTCTTAAGCTATAAGCCAGTTCAGGGGTCAAGAGACAGGAGAGGAAAGGGAGGTGGGGAAGGGGGTGAAAAAGGAATGAAGAGTGCTATGCACATGGACCAACTCCACACAAGGAATGTAAACGTTAGAACCGCAAACAGGTAGTAGTAAGAATTAAAGTACACACACAAACACCAAGCTAGCAAAAAACAACAGCATACATTACTAAAAACTGTCACCCTGCATGAAGATGCAGTTCACAATTGGAACTTCTTAAAATATACTTTTAAAGATCCTTTCAAAGCTACCAAGGCAAGCTGAGCACGGTCACACACACCTGCAATCCTAGCACTCTGGAAGCCTGAGGCAGGAGGATCCAAAAGTGCAAGTCCAGCAGGGGCTAATGATAATTTCGGGAGACCCTATCTCAAAAAAGGGAAGGAAGGTGTAGCGATGCACACCTGTAATCCCAGCATTCAGGAGGCTGAGGCAGGGGGATCAGTGTGAGTTCAAGGCCAGCCTAAACTACAAAGCAATACCCTGTCTCAAAACAAACAAATAAATAAATAAAGTAAAATAAAAATAATAAAAATAAAAAAGGGGTGGGGATATAGCTCAGTGCGAAGGCCCAGAGTTCCATCTCCATTACTTGGGTGGGGTGGGATAGAACAGCATCAAAGTGAAACAGACATCACAGACTTCTCCACTGGCCAGATTTCACACAGCAAACAAGAAAGTAACGAACAAGACATCACTTTGACTTCAGCTGCAACTTTTGTCTGAGAGAACCAACTGTTTCATTGTATGCATAGCCCCACTTACTGTCCAGCTCAATGAGACGGAGCAGGGGTAATTTTCCTTCCTAATGAAGAAAATCGAGGGAGGAGCACAGGAGTTAAGCGGCTGGTCTAAGAACAGTTTTAGCAAAACAAAGAACAGGAAACAGTCTGTAGTCCACTACCTTGCCAATAGCCTAGGGTGAGGGAAGACCTTATCACCACAAGCAGCTGGAACAGCAGCCCTAGTTTTCTTATTTGTAAGAGGTGATAAACGCAGCAACTTTGGGGGGAATGCGGAGTGTGAAAGGCAGGAAGTCCCTTGTCGCTGGCTCTGTTGGTACCACATTCACATTGCCTGGCAGCCCCAAGTGTTTATCTCTTCCAGAGAAATCTGTTCTCTTACAGACTACTGGGTCTTTTTAAAGTCAGAGGGACTTTGACAGTGCATCAGTTAGGAATACCTTTATCTTGAAATTTTTCTTAAAAACTACCAAAGATTCTTGCATATTATTCCATCTCCAACAGGAAGCAGGTAAAAGTAGTAAGTCTAAGCTAAGTATAGGGCTCATCAAGCTATTATCATACTAATAAACATTCCCTGCCCAAAATAAATCATCTCTACACAAGTCCTACTCTGTGCTTTTAAAATTCAGAATCAGGGGGCTGGGGATTTAGCTCAGCGGCAAAGCGCCTGCCTGGCAAGTGCAAGGTCGTGAGTTCGGTTCCTGGTACCGGAGAAAAACCAAAAAAAATAAATAAATAAAAAATAAAACTCAGAATGGTTTTATTCACTTACTCATTAAATTTATTTATTTATTTATTTTTTGGTTTTTCTCCGGTACCGCTGAGCTAAATCCCCAGCCCCACTCATTAAATTTAAAGAACTCCTATTATTGCATACACCAGACACCAGCCTATGCACTACAGTTAAAAGGAGCTGCCTCACAGAGGAAGGAAGTGGAGGTGCACCTCCTGGCTGCACTCATGTCCTTTCTATTACAAAAATAGAAGGAAGAGAGAAAAAGAGGAGGGGAAGTAGAAGAAGAGGAAGAAAAAGAGGACAAAGAATAGAAGCAGGAAGAGGAGAGTGAAGGGTGGGGGATCCCCAGTAAGTGATTAGATGCATGCCAAACTCCTCGAGTCCTGAAGGCCAGCATGAAGGACCTGTGAAGTTTGTGAGACAGCAAGACTGTGCAGATGAGACCTGTGAAAAACTCTGAGTATCCTCTATACTAGACCAAATCAGGCCCTGAAACTACAATGGAAATGTGGAGTTATGGTTACCGTCAGCTTCTTGATTTTAGAAAGGTGAAGCATAGACACTGACATTCAAGAGTAAAAACAAGCTGGGCGTCTCAGTAAATCCAGCACTTGGGAGGCTGAGGTGGAAGGCTGAGGTGGGAGGGTCGCCTTAAGTTTAAGGCCAGCCTGTGCTACAAAGGCAAGCCTGAACAGAATAGTGAAACTCTGTCTCAAAAAAAAAAAACAAAAAACAAAAAACAAAGAATTTTCAATGTGCTACTGAAGGGTCAGTGTTTTTTCAAAGATTTGACGCTCTCAAAAAGTACTCTGATTTAGATGTGTATCAGTGTACTTATGGTGATTGTTTAAACTAGATCCCTGGCCCAAGATGACCGGTTTTTGAGTTTGCGTGAAAAGGCAGTTTGTTTATAAATTCTAAGTGAATTCTATTACCATTACATGTAAATGTAAAACTTCCTATTTGTGAAAATTCTCATTCATATTTTTGTAAGAATCAAGGACAATAGGGCCAGGGATATAGCTCAATGGCATAGCACCTGTCTACCCAGTGCAAGGTCATGAGTTCGAGTCCTGCTACCCCCCCAAAAAAGAATCAAGGACAATCAATAATAAGGTTGCTACATTCTTCTTTAACCTACTCTTCTGAACATAGACTTGCAACCTTTTCTTAAGCCAGCTAGGATCACCTGGGTTTGGCCTGCATTGCATCAAGTGAGATTTTCATGAATCAGGTATCACCTAGTAGAGAACCTGGGGGTTCTAAACCAGTTTGCAAAGGGAGATTTAATACAAAAAATGAACTCCTTTCTTACATCAACTAAACGCCTGGCACAGAATCCCTGTAAGATTGCAAAAGCAGTGTGTGGGAGGCTCAGGAATATGTGACTGCCTGGGGACCCCTCTCTGCCTGCTCAGGCTGGGCCCCTGAAGGCACCTCACGGCAGCCCTTCCCAGGGTCACCTGTGCAGCACTCACGTCAGGTCAAGGGCACAGGCTCAAGGCCGGTAAGACCTAGGCTCAAATTTGGGCTTTGCTGATTTTCATGGATGTGGCACTCAATGAACCACTCATTTACCACTTGAAAAGGACTAATCGCCCACTGTGTGCTTCGCGCTCCATTTTTCTAAGCCCCCATTTCCTTATCGATGAGACCAGAAACCTGTGAGGAGTGCAGGAAACAGTGAATGTAAAACACACAGCACAGTACATACGCTGCATTAAGCACTCGCAAACTGTTAGCTGCTACTGCCATTATCATCTCTAGTAAGTTTCACAGGCCAATGACTGGACATCCAGGGAGACTACATAAACAGTTCCCGTGAGGGAAGCAACAAAAAGTTAAACTCCACCCTCAGACACAAAAGTTTTACTCCAACAGTAAAGGCTTATGTCTTTGGTATAGAATGGCAAAGAATTTTTTTTTTTTTTTTCATCTTTTTTGAGACAGAGTTTCTCTATTGAGTTCAGGCTGGCCTTGAGCTCACTTTGTAGCCCAGGCTGCTCTCAAACTCACAATGATCCTCCTGCCTCAGCCTCCCGAGTGCTGGGATTACAGGTGTGTGCCACCACGCCACCCTGCTGCAAAGAATATTACAAATTACAATATGTCTCACAATTTATACTTGATGAAGTACTCATTAACTGATTTTAAGATTAAAGGGGGGGCTGATCCTGCTATAAGTAGCAAGATATGTAAAAAGCAAAAAATAAATGGCACTGTACTAGATTTTTTGCTTTTCTAAACTAGATACAGGATAAGCAGTTATATGACCCTTTATTTTGCAACAGGGAAAAATAATATTGCATTCATTGTTGCTAATGAGAAGGGGTGCAGATATCTCTAGCAATGATTCAGGGCTATGTTATCAAATGATCACAAGTGCTTGAAAACACATTACACAACCAGTAAAAAACTAAAGCTGAGCAAACAGAATAACCACAGAGGAGTTGTACGAAATTATGAATTAGGTTATATCACTAACATGCAGTTAGGTGATAATAAACATAAATTATTTTCCATTCCTGCACCCCAGAAATAATCTCTGCATTGGTAACACATCTTCTGGTTTAACGGTGGGGAAGAGAGTACGTGCACCTGGTCTGTGCTGAGACTACCGATCACTAGCAGCATGACTGAGGCCGGGAGATAAAAGGAAGTTAGGGCACAGATCCTGGGTGGTGAACTAAAGTAAACTAGAAGTCAGGGCTTAAGTGAGTTGATAAACAAAGGGCTTGAATAGTTAACTTCAGTTGATTAAACTTGAGTTTACTATTTGATCTTTAGTATGGCTAGCCAGACAGGTCACTGGATTTCTTTCACGAGACCGATCTCTGGTTACATGGAAGCCGTGAAAGCTGAGGGGGCAACTGGGGGCCATGGCCAGTCGACTCCCTGCTGGAAGCCCCAGGGCTCCTCAATGGAAACTGGGTCCCGGCCGCCCCACAGGGAACCTAGCAGAAAAATCTCCACTTGTCTGTTGTCCCCACCTGCACTCCTCCGTGAGGCGAGGTAAAACTCTCTGTGATCTCCTGGTGTCCTCTGTCCCAGTGACCTGAGATGACACTGTTAAGAGGCTTCTCTTAAGCCTCCATTAAGAGCTCAGCCACAGGTTTGGACCTGTCTCTCTCAGCTAGTCAGATAAACCCCCTCTTCAGATGTGGTTTGAGGAGATGCCCTCATGCGGCCTATGTACAGGCTTTCTTTGGATTGAGAGATAGTCCTAACTTCCGCAGGACACGCTTTCTAGATTCAGCCTTGTTACAAAAGGACAAAACTTCAAATCTGGTTTTGTAAAAAGAAGAGACAGTAAACACATATTCCATCTAATAATCTATGGCTCTTTTCTGTGATAAGATACATTCTATACAAAAATGAAAGTTTAAATATACAGTGCTTTAAAAAACAACAGCCCGTGGTTCATAACTGATAGTATCAACATAGTTGCTGTGCTAAAATGTTGTTTTGCTTTTGATTTCAAACTCTCCCTATAAAAACATCATACCTATTATCTAAAACTATTTGATAAAAATTTGACTTCTAAGACAATCATAATTGCTCTCACTTCAATACTGGTGCAACTGACTTCCGAGGTGTTCAACAACTAAGGCTCTGAGACCAAAACCAGTCGTATAACTGCGCTAAAAAATAACCAATATTTTGATTCTGGCCCTCCAGGGTCAACAAGGGCCCAGGATATGAGGGGGCCTTTCTACAGGATCCTACAACTTTGGTGAGTCACCCAATCTCTTGAGCAAGGAGCCCACTAGACCCCAAAGGACAAAAGTTAACCAGTATACATCACACTAGAAAGACGGTCACTGAAGAAAAATATGTTCCCACACTTCCACGGAGAGCCACGTGGTCTAGCACAGACCGTGACTCATTCTAGCAGAGGAGCTAAGAGCTCTGCACATGACTTCAAAAGTAACACCCAGGGAATCTTAACTGACCTTTATATACACCGTAATGTAATTCTAATTAATACGGGTCTCACTTAAACTTGGTCTTAAACACCCAACAAGAAAATATAACCAAACAATATAAAAATATTAATAATAATTTAGGGTAAATGTACAAAGGGGTTCCAAGTCCTATATACTGGCCTCTGCTGACAGTGTCCAGCTATACCTGCAAGTTATTATTATGGTTCAATAAGGCTAAGAAGCCACAACAATAGCTCTAAAAGTTCAATACAAATCTTCTAATTACTTAGCTATGACTGTCTTTCAAAAACACAGGGCCTTCTACAACCTTACAGCTAAAAACTTACATGCTTATATAAAACTTATTATCTTTAAATAAGACACATCAGATAAAGAAAAAATGTTGCTTTTAGGCCAATCACTCTGGTATAATGGGAGATATAACATAAAAACTAGCCAACTGTGCTTCAAAAATCCACCAAAAATCATCTAGGTCATAGAGGTCATGGTCAGCGATCTAAAATTTGGCATTCTGCTTACTCTCCCTAACAGGATCAATATTAATGCTTCTTGTAGCCTTCATATTTGGATCATGTTTTCTCAGCTGCTTAATCAAATTGGTTTCTTCTCCCTTGACAGCTTTTAAGCTACAAATAGTGATGCAAACAGACTCTCCAGCAAGTGTTCTGCCTGGCTTTCATTCAGGACCTTTAGACAAGACTCACAGTAGTGGGCTCTGTTACTCCCAGCAATGCCCCCTCTCAGCAGAAGTAGCTTGCAAGACCCTTCACTGCCCACTGCACCCTGAGAGCAGCCCGTGTCACTACTGTAGAGGGGGGAATAAAGCCAGGAGATAGGAAAATTCAGGCAGTTAGAGCACTGCTCCTGAACAGTTAAGAAAAGGGAGGGGGCACCACATAAATTACCATACCAAAATACACTATTAGGACCTAATGAAATGCAAGAGATGAAAACTGGGCCTTTAACCAAATGAGAGAAACCCTGAAAGAAATAAAACAGCTTGCTTTCCAGACATCAAAGGCCTATCCACAACCAGGAACATCCTTGCTTTCTGTCATATACACCGGTCCCCAAAACTGTATAAAAACCCAATAGACCTAAACATTTATGATGTCCACCTTATGGAACACCCTTCTCCAACTATCAAAGAGCTTCTCTTTTAGTCTTTCTAATACACATGCATTTGGATTCCCTTCCACTTGCTGTTTGCTGTTTTGTCAACTTCAGTCTTAGCTGCCCCAAAACAAGGTCACGAGACCAAGATCCAATTACAGTATTCTTCATCAGACAGTGGAAACACTACTTGTATCACCTAAGCAGCAGATTAAAAAAAAAAAAAAATCAAGTGCGTTATGTCCATAAATGTACTTCAACTGGGAAAGAAAATGACTTCTTGTCACAGCAACTGGTACCTACTGAAAAAAATGTGATAACAGTAAACCACTTGAATCTTACACAGAATTACAAATGGAACATTTATATTGACATCAAATGTGTGCATCAGTCAGTAGTAGTTTAAAAGTTAATGTGCAAAAAAGGAATACTTACAGAATTTTCTCTAACCGAAAGTAGATCATAATGTACAGTACCAAAGAAAATCATAAAAATGCAGTAATATAAGGGGAAAAATTCTCTGAACTGCATGTTAACGTCCCTAAATACTTTACTTTTATAAATACTTACTTGTAAAAATAAGTAACTGGGCAGTACATTGTCAAACGAGGGGCTCAGATATATTGGTTCCGTCATTCTTACGCCTATACCTCTGAAAAACAGGAAACCTAACATTAATCCCTATCAATTACACAGCACACACATCTAGAACATACCCACATAGCATGCCAAATATACAGTGATCTGGCTTTCTAAAACCTTTATCTCCATCTAAATACTTAGAACAGTCTTGTGAATCCATTTTGGATGTTTCCTCAAGGAGAAGGCATTAGAACTAAAACAGATAAAGTGACAAAACTTTCACTTAGGCCCAAGAGTTTCTTTAGAATTCTGGATAAATTAAAAAGCAAAGAACATGTGATTACAGATTCATTCTAATCCTTCCAGCAGCCAATCTATGATCACTGTTAATACCTTTCCAGTCACAAACATTTTATGAGCACTGAGTTTACAAGGTAGTATACTAGGTACTTGTATGAAAACTGAAAAAAATACCTAGACTCCTGCTAGTGCTAAGCAATGACAAGCACAGTACTACTCTCCTCTCATCTTTCTTTTTTTTTTTTTTTGGTTTTTCTCCAGTACGGGAACCGAACTCACGACCTTGCGCTTGCCAGGCAGGCGCTTTTGCCACTGAGCTAAATCCCCAGCCCTCCTCTCATCTTTCTACGGAGTAACTGCCCAGTGCTGACACAACTGGAAGACGATCTTTTCCACCTCTGTCCCACTTCATGAGTGGCAGTGCTGCTGATAAAAACAGGAAGAGCCGGGCCACAGGTACTCAGTGATAAGACCCGCACTGCAATCAGAGGTAACCAGAGACCATCAAGAGAAGGAGACAGCATACACATATTGTTAGAGAATGCCAACATTTTTTGCTTCTAAGTGGCTGCTTTCTCCTCCCACCAAAAAAAAGAAAACAGAGCCTGGCACCTCAGTGAAATTCCTATAAGCCTAACCACGTGGGAAGCTGAGGCAGGATTGCAAGTTGGAGGTCAGCCTGGGAAACTTAGGAGAGGTTTTTGTCTCATAGGAAAATGAGAAAGGGCTGGGGATTCAGTTCAATGGTAAAGCACCTGCCTAGCGGGTATGCAGCCCTGGTTTCAATCTCCACTACTACAAAAGAGAGACAAAGAGGAGGGAGGGGAGGGGAGGGAAAAGATTACTCAGCACAGTAACTGTAGCGAGGACATCCAGTAAGATAAGGACAAGAAAAGTTTTTTTGGACCCCCCCCCACTGGGAATTAACTCACGACCTTGCCAAGGACATGAAAAGTATACCACTAATAATGACTAACAGAGGCAGTCAAAACGCCAGTTCCTTAGTACACACCGAAAGACAAACAGCGGTACCTGCATAATCTTCATAGTCACAAAGCCTTCTAAGGAGAACAAATCAGTTCTTGGCTACTGGTAAAGTATTGCTGTCACCGGGCTGGGTCTGAGGGTCCCAGAGGCTGAAATAAGGAGCTTAACTCATCCACCCTTTTAAAATAACTTTGTAGATTACCTGACTGTTGTCACGGAAAAGGAATTGTGAGGACTCATCAGTCAAAGAGGCATGAGAAGGTTTTATTAGAGGTAGAGACAGGACGCTTTCAAGGGCAGAGCGTGGGTGCTCAGAGAAACGAGGCAGTTACCAGCCAGAGCAGGGCTCATTTAAAGGCTGTCTTCAGACTGTGATCCAGGATGTGTATTCTCACTGTCTGCTGGGTTACAGCACTGGCCACCCACTGTAGAGGGGTTTGACGTGGAGATACGCTGCTGGAAGTTAAAACATGCTCTCTCCAAAGCAGTGCTTTTGGGGTTGGAGGAAGGGGAAATCTGCAGAAGTGTCTAGCACCTGCGGAATTCATAGGTTATTAAAAAGGGCCTTTAGAAATTTAACACTAAATTAGGATGGAAGGAGGGGTGTCACAAGCTAGGGCGGCCTCCAGAAGCAAGAAAAGAGCTTGTCTTGAAGCTGTAATTTTTCTTTTCTTTTCTTTTGGTACCAGGAATCGAACTCAGGACCTTGCATTTGCCAGGCAGGCGACACGCCACTCTTGATTTCCTAGTCTCCTTTCAACCTAGTTTTATTTCTTCTGCCCTCACCTCACTGCTATCCAGATCCAATGTTCTGTTTCTTCAGAAGAATTAATTTCAGTTACACAGAAAAATTGCTGCAACATGGGAAAGTGATCAGGGACACAGTCCAGCTCTGGTCAGCTAAGTGAAGAGTCCTTGGCATAGTTCTGTCAGCTGTCTACAGCACTCCTAAAACAAGCTCAAGCAAGTAAAATATGAGCCTAGTTTGCCTATGGATTTATTCACAGCCACAAGGGAAGAGATGATTTAGAAGTAACTATATCTTAATTTGACTTGAACAAATCCAAACATTCAGTTTTGACCATAAATTCTTACATGAGGGCTAGCTTTCTGATAAAAACATTTTTAATTTATATTAAAATTATAATTTTTTCTAATCAAAATGTTTAAAAGATCTAAGTGAGTCATTTCATTCATTTTCTATCAATATAAGCGTCCATGTTCTTCAAAGATAATTTTTTTTTTTTTTTTTTCTTTTTGTCTTTTTGAGACAGGCTCTCGCTATGCAGTGGAGGCTGGCCTTGAGCTCACTTTGTAGCCCAGGGTGGTCTCGAACTTGCAACGATCCTCCTGCCTCAGCCTCCCGAGTGCTGGGATTACAGGTGTGCACCACCATGCCTGGCAAAAAATTTTCAAATCATTAAAATTCAAAAAGGACAAGTAAAATCATTTAATAATTATGTTATCACTAGGCTTAACTGGGCTTTTTAATCTCATCATTCACCTTTTTTATTTTTTCTTTTTTGAGACAGTGTCTCACTGTGTAGTTCAGGCTGGCCTTGAACTCATTATGTACCCCAGGCTGGCCTCGAACTCATGCGCCAATCCTCCTGTCTCAGCCTCCCAAGGGCTGGGATTATAGGCATGCACCACTAGGCCCAGCATCCTTTTTAAACTAATAGGATTTTTTCAAAAATCATAGAACTATGAATAAAATATTTTTCCAGTTGAAATTTATATTAAAGATTTATTCATATAATACAACCAGATACACTTGTACATTGTTTTTAACCTTCTTGATCCATAGAAAGCATGTTTATCTTTCCCATAACACCAGTGACATACTTTAGTTCGGACAGTCCACTGAAGATCTCTTTGCGGCTTAGTGCAGAAATCCCATTTCCAAGAAATACTTTGGTTCCATCAAACTCTCTGGCTCCTTTCTTACATTTCCCGTTAATATCAGAGTATACAGAAACAACATCTCCAGCTTTCATAACTACAGGAAAAAAAAAAAGTTATACTAATCTGCCCTTTGGCAGAAGGACAGTAATCTCTTAAGTAGAATGGGATTCTCTCTGGACATCAAGACTGGACAAGCAGTAGTTCAAACCTGCTCATTAGATGGCTATGAGCAAAGAAACAAGTTACAGAAAACTTTATGTGCATGCCTAATTTATTAATCCTTAGCAGATAAAGTCCTTATTGGCTATATTAAATGCAAAGCTGGGAAAACCCCTAACAAAAGTAAAACTGAAAAGCATCTCAGATAAAATATAACAAACTTCCCATTTGGTAATACACATGAATTTGAGAGAACCCCAGGTTCCTGGTACCGGAGAAAAACCAAAAAAAAAAAAAAAAAAAAAAAAAAAAGAGAGAACCCCAAACTTTACGGTACTTACAGCTTGACGCTGACACAATTCCTGGAACATAGACATGGGCTCCTCTTAACACCGCGTTGCCACACTGGGCTCCGACCACGGCTTCACACGGCCGCTTTTCTATGTTCTTTCTAGGAATGGGAGGAAAAGAGGAATTATTGAACAGACTCACACTCCGCCACTGCAGGACAGTTTTCCAAGGTTTCAATCTAAGCTCTACATTAATAACGTTAGTCTGGATTTTCATGAAAAACTGAAGAAGAGAAAGGTGGAAAAAGAGCACAAATAGAGAAGAATAGTTATAAAAGGGAAAAATGGAAGAATGGGCACTTGAAAACTTCAAAAGAGGTCCATCTGGTGGAAGGCAGGAGAGTGGCATAAGAAATTGGTTACTTAACAACCATTACTTTTCCCAGGATAACACAGAAGAAAAAAGGGTTTTCACTGCTTTCAAAGACAAAACAGTAAAATACACAAGAATTACAAAATTTCTAAAGTGATAAATTGTTACATGATAAATTATGAATGAACTGTGCTCCATTTTCTTTCATTATGTCCAGTTAGCAAATCTCAATAAACTTAACTTCATGGTATGCAGTACCTTAGGCCCATCCATTCACACTGTTGCTTTTCTATAATTCATTCATTCATTCGTTACTAGGGATTAGGATTTTGGCACTAAACAACACACACAGCCATTTTTAGCTTTCTATTTTGTGACAGAATCTCACTCAGTTGCCCAAATGGGACATGATCTTGTGATCTTCCTGCCTCAACTTCCCCTTGGGCTGGGATTATAAGGACATGCCACTGCGCCTATCCATGCCTACTTCTTCAAGAGGCACAATCCTCCAAGTTGTAAAACACATCACTGGGGCCAGGGATATAGCTCAGCAGCACAAACGCTTGCCTGGCAAGCACAAGGTCCTGAGTTCAATTTCCGATACCAAAAAAAATGAAATGAAACACATCACTGTCTCTTCTCACCTTGCACTCTACCCGTTAGCAACTCATGATTTCAATAATCACTTAAAATATAACCCACGGAGCAGGCGTGGTGGTGCATACCTCCAAGCTACTCTGCAGTATGAAGCAGGAAGATTACTTGAACCTACAAGTTTGGGCAACATTAAAAAAAAAAAAAGCACAAAATCTATGTTTAGTCTTCTAAACTCGAAACTGACATTCCTGACCACCTGCAGGTACCTACATATTGATGTCCCACAGCTACTCAACAAGCTGAAACAGTATTTCTCTCTCTCAAATACTTGGAATGACCCCAAAACTTTCCATTGCATGCTTCCAATTCTTAATGAGGTGTCACTGTCTACTGACCTAGCAAATTAGAAGTCTCAGAACAATAGTCCAATGGTGTCTTCTAAAATTCATGCATTAGAAACCTACTCCCCAATGCTACAACACTTGGGAGGGGTTTAGGTGAGGTGAGGAAAGGCTCTGCCTGGACAGTGAATTAATGCTGCTACAGAAATGTGTGCCCTGTCTCTTTCCTTACATCCTCCACCAGCGGAGGACACAAGAAAGCTGCCACCAAGTGCCTGTACCTTGATCTTGGGCTTGTCCACCACCAAAATTGTGAGGAATTTGTTCTTTATAAATTACTCAGTCTCAGGTATACTGCTATAGCAGCAACAAAACAGAGCGACACTCAGCATAATCTTCAACCTCTAATTCCTAAACTTAGACACTCTCTGAGTCACTGGACCATGCTCTTATCACTCTGACAGTCTCCTGGGCCCATCCCCTGACAGACTTGCATCATCTTTCACCTATTACTGGACAAACTTCCTGCCTTTTACCTGGATTGGTCTCAGATCTTCCTTATGCCTCTGGGGTTCTGCAGTTTCACTCTGAAGAATCAATGTATGGACTGTTTTACTTCCAGACTTGTAGTTCTAACGTTTGTTTTTCTTCAATTCTGGGAAATACTTAATCATTGCATTGCTTTATTACTGTTTTTACCCCATTATTTCTATTTTTTATATCTGGGACTCATTAAAAATATGAAGAAACTTTTCTATTTTCCAGTACTTGATTTCACTTTCACATTTCTTTTTCTCTGCTGCATTCTAAATAATTTCCTAAGTCAACAAATACAATAACTCTATCACTTAGGTCTAAATTTAACCTGTGGAATGTTTTTAATTTTAATGACTTTTTTATTTCCATAAATTCCCTATCAGTTCTACCTGTCTTCCTCTCAGGTCTTTCAGGTTTTGCTTTTAAGAATTTAAGAAAACTGATTTATGGCCACTACCAGAGAGCTCTATTTATTAACATTTTGTGAGAAATCTACCTCTATAGTTTATTGTATGTGCTGATTTTCACTCACGGTGCTTTGATTCCTCTTAATAAATGAGCCAGTGTGTAGTTTGGATTTAAAGTGTACTGCTTCAAGCCAAGCACGGTGAGAAATGTCTGCACTTGGGAAACTGAAGCAGGTAGACTTCAAGTTCAAGGGCAGCATGGGCTATATATTCTGTCTTCACAAAACAAGGAGAGAAGGAGAGAGGAAGTGGAAGGAGGAAGAAGGGTGGAACAAGACAGAGGAAAGAAAAGGGAGGAGGGAAGAGAGAAGGGAAAGAGAAGAGGAAGTGGGGAAGGAAGGGGAAAGAAAGGAGTTTACTGCTCCAGGATGGTTCTGTTTGGTTTGTGCGAAGTACCTCAAGAATTGATATGGGACCAAATTTTCACATCAATTTCCTAGAAATTTACAAATTCTTGTAAATTCCAAGACAACCTGAGTAGTAAGAGTTTGGAATTAACACATTTATGATGTGCAGAACCATAGTTCTGAATTTTTAGAATTATTTTTCTTCAACCTATACCCAAAGAAAAAAGCCCCACTTCCTCACTATACCCTTATAGTGATTGTTACACACTTCTTGGCCCTTGTAGTCACATCCTCTTGTCAAAATCAAAGACCACACATTTAGAAAACCAACCAGCAACCTCCTTTCTAATACCACCAGCTCTCAGCATCAGTTCATATGCTTACTACTGTTTTTCTTTGGTTGTTTATTCCTAATGCCGAAATATTTCACTTACATTTTTCATCACTCAGCTATGCATTTTATGGTCTATTTAGCATTCCTTGGTATATACAGAAGAAACATTTTCAAGTTATCTAGTTTACTGTACTATGGGAACCAAAGGAGTGAAAGAACTTCCTAACTTGTCTCTAGTTTTCTAATTCAAAACCGTAAAAAAACCACATTTAATACCACAACCTACTATACAAGACATGTCTGTGGACATACTCTTAAAACAAACATTTCTGGAAACAATTCTTTTCTTTTGGTCTTTTTGAGACAGGATTTCACGATGCAGTTCAGGCTGGACTTGAACTTACTTTGTAGCCCACGCTGGCTGAAACAATACTTTCTCTAAGTGAATTATAATAACATAACATATATGACTCACTTTATAAAATGATCATTAAAGACCATTAAGTTGATTTTACAACCCACTACTGGGTAACTATTACCAATATATTTCTAAAATACAGATCTAATCATCACTGTAATAAAACTATGACTCCTATAGTATACAGCAGAGGGATTCCTTAGTATTATATAAGTACCGCCCGCTAACCGATTGCACCACTGGAGCTTTGGATTCCTTAGTTTTAAAAAGTCCTTTATTTTCCTTTAGAATTCACAGCCTAGCTCTTCCAACTTCCACAATCTAAACTTTCACTCATCCTTCTGAAAACCAGTTCAACAGCTGAATCTGATCAGTTTTGCCATGAACTACCTTACCTCCTCATCAACCTAATTTCTATTTATCTTCCTCCTAGTCAATTAAAAGAATGTCTACTTAGAAAAAATCTTTACCAATTTCTGTGTACTCATCCTTCCCATTCTATAATCCACTGGCATTTAATTCATACTTCTGCTATGGCAATCGTAACACTGTGACTTGTACCAAAGTCCCCTGCCTTTAGACCGAATGACTATGTCTCATCTGTCTTTTAAGACTCTTGCATCTTATACAGAGCACAAAATCAAAAGAAAAAAAAAAAGCTTTGTGACCTTTTAAGAAAGTTAGGAGAGAAAAAAATGAACTCCGGAATGGACAATTGTGCAGAAAAGAGTTAATGTCAGGCCTTGCCAGGCGTGGTGGCACATGTCCGTAATCCCAGCGCTCAGGAGGGGCGGGCAGGAGGATCACTGTGAGTTCAAGGACAGACTGGGCTACACAGTGAGTTCAAGGCCAACCTGAACTACATAACGAGACCCTGTCTGAGAAAAAAAGAAACAAACAAAAAAACCACAAACAGGCCTAAACTGCTACCCTCTGAAAGGTCTGTTCATAAGGCTGGCCCCTGACTGGTGTTTGGGAACTTAAATGACCAGAGAGTCCCTACTACAGACATTCCTCATTTAAAAACCTACTGTTCAATGACTATTTGAATTATGACCCATCTTTTTTGGTACAGTTCTGTACATCTTGTCTATAAAGCCTCAATGTCTTTTTTTGTACAGTACATCTTGTTTATACAGTACTATAATGTTTGCTCACTATACTGTATAGTACTCTAATTTTATGTTATACATTACAGTGCTGCATGTAAGAGTTATGCAAATAAAAGCAAAGTCATCAAGTGGGAGTTTCCTTTGACCATTTATTTGTTCCAAACATTGTAACGTACACACTATACACAATTCCTCATTTAGTGACCAGTCCATTTAATGTCCTAGTAGCAGGAATGGACCTTGGTCATTAAAGAAGGAATGTCTGTATTAACTGCTAAGAGTAGTTCATGGTGCCTCAGTTGTTAATAAAACAATATAAGCAATTTAGTGTGAACAAGAAACCTTCACCAAGATGCTCCACTTTTATCAGCTGTGTTCACCAGCACAGAAGCTATGCCACAGGAAAGATCTAATAAAAGTACTCTGAGAAAACATGTGTCACGGCTATGGAGGTGCTCACTTTACCCAAGCCATTCTGTACAGTTGTTGAGCAAACTGCAAACCAAGGTGCAAATATTTCCAGTAGTGACTGATAAGCAGCAAGGATATGTTAAACATTCAACATGGACTCTATGTATAGGTAGTACCAAAAAATTAAATAAGCCAAAGGCAGATAAAGAATGTACTAAAAAGGAAAAATTTCAAAGGTATCTGTATTTTCAAAGAAAGAAACTAAGAGACTTCTATAAAGGGAGTAAGAACAAAAAAATTAAAAACAGTGAGCTAGTAGAGTTCAGAAAATAAAGGATAACAGAAAGAGAAGCACAGAGAGATATTGATTGGTAACACTGAGTATCTACACTGTGCCACTCACCATTCTAAACTCACAACACTCCTAAAACTAGAAAGTATTTTTAGGCCGCATTTTAGAGATAAGGAAAGAAAAGCACAGAGAACACAATGTAGGTAATTACTGACAAAAGAGCCACTTTGAAATACATCCATGACTAAAACAAGCACAGATTTTAACCAGTATTTCCATGTTGCGTTCATTTATCTGGGGACATGCTTACACAAGTCCACAAATGTGCATTTCAACAATTCTGGCAATAATGAAAATGAGGAAAAACAATGTGCATCACTATAGGGTTAAAAATTAAAACTGAGCTCATGGATAAAACGTACTATTTATGTAGCTAAAATGGCAGCGCAATATAAATCATGAAAAACTATGGGCAACAAGCAAAGATAAACATGAAATATTCTTAAGTGAACAGAAAAGCAATTGTGAACATTATAGGATTTTTAAATTATTTTCTAAAATGTATACAAATGAAGGCACATGTGCAGGTAAAAACACAAAGACTATAAGAATTCAAATTCAATGCTTAGAGAAGAATTGAGAAGTGTGATAGGAAATATAATTTCATAGTTACATAAAATTCTAATTTTTGAACATTTGTCTTTATTTTATAAAGAAGAAAAAAAGCAATTAACTCTATTCACTAAAAGTGAATTTTAGTGAACTCTATTCACTAAAATAAAAGTACAGAATAAAGACATCTGACAGAATGAGAAGTGGTCAACTTTTGAACTTAATCAACTACAATTATGCATCCTCATCAGGTATGGAACTTCAAAACACTTGGACTTGTGATTTACTCTAGGAGCTCACAGGTTCAAAATTTAGAAATGACAGAAATAAGAACATCAGTTTCCTGGTGTGGTAACAGCATATAGGAGAATTTTCTGAGCTGATGTAAATGCTCTATATCTTAGGTTATGGATCAGGGCTAACCAACAACATTTATTTGGCAAAACTCATCAAACTGCATATTGAAGAGCTCTTCATTTTACAGTATGCACACCTCACCATACATTAACTAATAGAAGAAGCCTACAAAATTAATGATTTAATTACAAAAATAATACACCCTTATACTAAAAAAAAAAAAAGAAAAAACAATAATGTTAGAAGTGAATATCCCCTGTGACTTATCCCCTTTTGCTCAATTCAATCTCCTACAGTTAACCACTGTTAATAGCTGGGTGTGTTGTAGCTTCCAAACTTTTTTTATATGCAAATATAAATATGTAGTTGTGCTTTAATGCAAAAAGGTTATAATTATTCTAAGTACAGCAATTTGGTTTTGATACTTAACAGATCATGAACATCTTAATTGTATATATAATTCTCTCATAAAGGCTGTAAAATATTGTGTATATAAACTATAATTTATTATATCATTTTGCTATTGCTGACTACTACAGCTTTAACAAAATGAGCATTTTTATATTTCCTATACTTCTTTGAAGTTTAAAAACTTTTACAGCATAATCAGGAACTTTAAAATGCTTCTTGGGTACATAACTCCTACTAAAACATCAAAGTGTGTCTATGATTTTCAAATATAAGCCTTACCAATACATAAATGAGTAGCACAGTACTTGGTACACAGTAATTTAACATAATTGATGAATCAACAAGAGTTTATGAACTTCAGCTATGAAAGTAGGAAATATTTTTCCTTTGCAGTTTTCCACCTCAAAAAGTTTTAATTTAGCATTGAAATCTCAAAAGAAATACAAGTAAACATGAAATAAAACTTTCAGAAAGTGGAAAAAATATTAATCACTACATTATTTAGGCCTGAACTGTATTATGCTCAAGGTACTGGGCCCCATTCCTTGTCTTCTCCTGGAGTATTTTCCATAACCAAGTATGAAGTCTGCCCTTATGGATCTGTTTATAAAGCTGCTAAAAACAGATGGACACAGCACTACTACTAAACATTAAAAAAATCCTACAAAGATTTTTATAAGAAAAATATAATTTTAAAATGCAATAGTCACAAACCTAGGTCCAATCACAGGAATAAGTAAGACATCCGGAAGGTCTGGATGCTGAAGAACAGGAACACTTAGTCCATTAAACTGCTGTTAAAAGTAAACATATAGAATTATACAGCATTCAGGATTTTTGATAAATTTCAACTTATAGAGTTTGTCAGTGTCACTATATATCACAACAGGAAGCTTGGTCTGAGCAATTTCATGTTATCCCATAATAAAAATCAAAACATCTCAAAACATTTTCTCTATCATTCTGACCTGCTATGGTTTAGATCTAAAATTTTCCCCAATGGTCTCTTGTGCTCAGAGGTGGACCCTGGCCAGAAGAGACTGATCACTTGGAGGCATGAGCTGGAAGGGTATGCTCTTATCCCTGGCTCTTGCCTTCTCTCTCTCTTCCTGTTGCTATGGGTTGAGCAGCATTCATCCACTCTGATGTGTGAAGCTGTGAGAGTGAAGGCAAAGGTGCAATAAAGAAAGACCCCAGGAAGTTGTACATGACAGGTCTCGGAGTCTCTGCTCAGAAAAGCCACAGACAGCAAGCACAGCCAGCCCAAGAGTGGACACACGGGCTGTAACCAGCAAGGCCACAGCGGTCAGGCTCCCAGAGTCATTTGGAGTTCACTTCTGCCCCCAACTTGCCCTAGGAGCTAGACATGAGGCTATAGGATTTAAATGTTTGCTCTACTGGTTTTGGTCTTGCTTCGGTCTGATTCATTTCTATACCCTCATTTCCTTTTGGAATGGAAATGTCTACCTTATATCATGTGTTGGAAATTAACTTCTTTTTGATTTTTATAGGAGCACAATGCTAAAAGTTTGCTTTGAGTCTCACAGGTGATTTTGGACTTGGACTTTTCAGCAATGCTGGAGCTGTTAACATTTTGCTTACTCCTAGAGATGGATAAGTGCATTTTGCAATAAGGAGACAAACATACACCTTTTGGGGGCCAAGGATGGAATTTTATGGTTTAAATCTAAAGTGTCCCCAGCAGTCTCATGTGTGTGGAGGTAGGCCCTGGCTGGAAGAGGTACATCTCTAGAGGCATGACCTAGAAGGGTATATTCTGGCCCCTGTCTCCTCCCTTCTCTCTTCCTCTTTATTCTTGGCTGCCAGAGATGAACAGCTTTCCTCTGCCTTGGAACCAGCTAATTATGAGCTGGACTCACTGGAACTGTGATCCAAATAAACCTCTCCTCCTTTAAATTATATTGCAGGTGTACTGTGTCCAGTAATGGGAAAGCTAATATTTGAAGCAGCCTGACTTCTCTTATAAGACACAATTTTGCTTACTGTTTGGCTTTATAAACACAAGTGATGTTTACTGTAAGTAACTTATTTCAGAAACTATCCAATGGCTGGGCACAATGGAGCACCCCTGTAACCCCAGCACTTGGAAGGCTGAAGCAGGAGGGTCACAGTGAGTTCAGGCCAGCCTGGGCTACACAGTGAGTTCAAGCTAGCCTGAACTACATAGCAAGACCTTGTCTCAAAAGACAAAACAAAAACAAAATTCCATGTAGAAGTCACTTAAGGAATTTTTCGAATAGGACATTAAAGATTGGAAGTACGGAGTTTTATTTAATAAACACCACTAACAGCGGAAGCCATCTCAATTGTGTTGGGAGAAAAAAATGTATTTGCAGACTCAGGATTTTCAGTACCCTCTATCACAGCTGGCTGACCAGACGGGAAAAAGCTACAGGGCCAGTGCTACAGGTGCTGGAGTCAAATCACATAGGCTCATTGTGTACATCCTTTCTCAATTCCATGGTCATGTTGGTAGCTTAAAATTAACCCTAATGGGAGCATTTACACCAAAGACATCAGCAAAACACCACAAATCAGGGTTATTTTTCTGGGAAAGGGGTTGTTAAGTATGTACTAGCATACGGATGTTGCAGCAGAAGTCAAACAAGCACTCCATGCAGCAGACTTAAGAGCATACTAATAGATAGGATAATAGAGACTATACATATGCCGTGAGAGAAAAACATGCAAGTATTTAAGAACAAGTCTATGCCATGTAAGCTAGGATTTATTAACTCATTAATTTTCACATACTACATGAAAGACTATAGGCCAGGTGTGGTAGTACATGCCTGGAATCCCAGAACTTGGAGGCTGAGGCAGGAGGATCGTCTTGAGTTTGACGCCAGCCTTGGCTACATAAGCGAGTTCAAGAGTAGCATGCACTACATAGCAAGACCCTGTCTCAGAAACAAATTAAAAAACAAAAAAAGAGACTATATAAATGCACTGCTCTGTAGACTATTTAGAAAAATTTATTAAATCAACTTATTTAAGATAAAGAAATAAACTGTCCACGTTTTAATGTACCTGCATTTCTACAAAGTCAACACCTTTGCTGACTTCTTTCAGAGGACATTTCAGAAGGTAACCATCCCTAACACAGCTAATAAGTAATTTAAAGGGTAAGTTCCTTCTGGTTTGATCAAACCCCTCTTCCTCTTTTCCACCCTCCCTGTTTTGGTGGGCTTTGGTTTATTGTTTTGTTTTGTTTTTAAGACAGAGTCTCACTATGTAGTACAGGCTGGCCTTGAACTTGTGATCCTCCTGCCACAACCATTCCAGTAGCTAGGACTACAAATTTGTACCACCACACGCGGTTAGAAATGTGTCATATAGAAATCAATTATTCTCAACCATACGTCTTTCTCCTCTCCCTTCTATCAGAAGCATTTAGATAAAACTTTCATAAAACCATACACATGGATAACTACATTATCACCTGCTTTTCCTGTCTGCTTCTGCCCTCCGCCACTTTTAAGACGGCCTTAATGAGGTATAATCTACGTATCAAGAACTTCATCAATTTGAAATGTTTAATGATCTTTAGTAAATTTAAAAAAGAGCACGAACAATTATCACAATCCAATCTGAGACCATTTCCATCACTCCACTAAGATCCCTCATGCCAATTTGAGGTTGATCTCTCTCCCCGTCCCTAGGTAACCACTAACCTTTCTCTATAAATTTGCTTTTTCTGGACATTGTATGTAAAGGGACTGCTATAGTACGCAGTGTATCATGTCTTGCTTCTTTCAGTTAATGTTAAGCTAATCTATGTTGTAGCATCTGAGCAATGATTTGTAACACAGATATATTCCACTATATGAATATACTGCATTTTATCTGTCACTGGTTGACAGATATTTGGATTGTATCTCCTTTACTATGATAAATAATGCCACTGTAAGATTTCATGTTTATGTGCACATTCTCTTGGACCCCTTCCCATGTGCAAGATCCATTCCACTGTCTCCTCCTAGCCACCCTTTATTGTGCTCTTTGTTTGTACTTCGCCTCATTCAAATGAGATACTATATGTTATTTAAGCTTGTATGTTTGATTTATTTCTCTCAACATTGTATTTTCCAGGTGCATCCATTTTCCTACGAATGTTTCAAACTTGTCCTGTATAGCCTGGTGGTATTCCATCACATCATATGCCACATTTTCTTTATTCAGTTGTCTGGATGGATATACAGGCTGCTTCCAGGATTCAGCTACTGATTGTGCTGCTATAAACACTGGTGTGTATGCAGTGTTAGTATGATATCTTTACTCCTAGTTTACATTCCCACTGTAATGGTTGATACACTGTGTCAACTTGAGAAGTTTAGAAGTTTAACTAAGTAACTCCACAGGGGGCCAGGGTCCTCACTTGGTAAACATCCTGAGCCTGTGCAAGAGAAGTGCAGATGATGTAAGTGCTACACCCACCCTTCCAGAGGTAGGCTCCTTACAATATAAGGGAGGAAAATAGGCTTGCTCTCTGCCCCTTTGGCCTTGCTGCTTTTGCTGTCTTCTGCCACCCTGAAGTGTTGCCCCTGTGCCATGCCACCCTGCCTTGGAGTCAGCTGACTGTGGACTGAAACCTCCACAAACTGTGAGTTAAATAAACCTTTCCCTCCTTAACTTTGGGTGTCAGGTATTTTGTTAGAGCAGTGAGAGAAAAGACACCCACCAACAACGTAGGAAGGTTTTTTTTTTTTTGCTTTTTGTTTTGCTTTGTTTCGCTACAGCCCTGCCAGCACTTGTTATTTTTTTATTTCTTGATGATCAACATTCTCTCTGGTTTAATGTGGACTTTAGTATTATTTTAATAACGATCAGGGATGTTGAACATTTTTTTCATGTATTTGTTGACTATTTGCACTTCTTTCTCTGAGAAGTGTCTGTTTATTTCACTTGCCCTTTCTTTGACTGGGTCTTTTATTTTAGCAAGGGGTCAAAGAGAGTATCAGCAAGAGAAGAGGGAAGATCAGTAGAATAAAGATTAGGGAATCTAATAATGAATGTAAACATTATATATGTCATAAACATAAGAGTAATAATATCAACAACAAAAATGGGGAAGGAGATTTAGAGGAGGAGAGAGAGAGGCAGGAGTGAAAAGGAAGAAGATTTACAAAAAGAATCAAGCTTTATTATGTACACGTACCCACTCCCAAGGACGAACATCTACTACAAACATACTAATAAAAGCAAAAGAATTTGTGTGGATATATGTCTACTTCTTTTTTGGTAGATCTATAGGAGTGGAATTACTGGGTTGCCTAGTTTTCTTTAACCGTTTAGGAAATTACCAAACTGTTTCCCAAAGAGATCGTACTATTTTGCATTATAAACCAGAAGATATGAAGATTCCAGTTTCCTTCTGTCCTTGCCAGCCAAATGAAAAGTATAATTTTTCAATTCCAATATGTGGAAAAAGTCCTTAATGTCATACCAGTTGGGATGTCCATTTAGGATATACACATAATTTTGGATGTGGAGAAGCAAAGAAGATTTATTGTCCAATACTCTCCCTAGTCTCCTTTCCTATTAGATTTAGGAACTGCTCTACCATAATTTCCTATCCAGTGCTCATGACCCAGTCTTCCCTGTCCAATCTTAACCTTTGGAAAGAAACTAAAAGCCCAGAGTGACTTACCTGTCTGCCCTCTGACCCTGATTCATGAGCTCTTACATCCCCATCAAACTGGTATACCAGAATACCCAAGTTCTACAATTAATTTGCTAGATAGGAAAATCTGGACCTGCACACCTCAGACTGCTCTCAATAGTTTTTCACATAGATTTTAAAACAGATTATTTATATTGTTCTATTTCTTGATTTTATTAAAGATAACATGGTACTTTAATATCTACCTCTTAATTAAATTCAATTAAAAATATAACCATACAAGAGCTCAGTAAGTACCTTTTATTTACATATCCCCCTTACCAGATACTACGAAATCTGCCCTAATCATTACATTCTGATTGTAAAAGAACAGGTTCAGAATGACCCTCTTCACGAATATTTTAATGAGAAAACAAGACTAAGAGGACTGAGAAACTTATCCTAAAACTTAATACATTCAGAATCAGACGTTCCTGTTTCAAATTCTAGCATTATCACTCTGTAACCCTGAAAAATAAAATGTTCATGAGTCTCAACTTCCTCACTTATAAAATTAGAATATATCATTCATAAAATTTTACTGAGGCACAACTAAGGCTGTAGAAATCTAGCTGAATATCACAAAAGATTTACACAAACCTTCTGAAATTCATCAAGCAACAGAGTTTTCACATGCTGAACTGAGGCTAAATGTGTATTCACTCTAACAGTTGTGAATGATGGAGGGTGTGACAGGCGATTTAACAGAGTTTCAAACTTCTTTTCTGCTGTTTCTTTGCCTGAAGCAGACACAGCCTGAAATGGAAAGAACAGTGAATGTTTTTCTTTCATCATACAAATTGAAAATGATCAGCAGAATATTACTATATATTCGTTCCACCTAATGAAACACCTGTTCAGCTCCATCTCATGTTGGAGTTATCTTTTCTGTGTTAGTTAACATTAAGGAAATGGTAAAAGCCAGGCATGGTAGCACACAGCTGTAATTCTAGCATGCAGGAGGCTGAGGCAGGAGGATCGTTTCAAGTTCGAGGCCAGCCTGGGCTACAAAGTGAGCTCAAGGTCAGCCTGAACTGCATAGCGAGACCCTGTCTCAAAAAGACAAAAAAAAAAGGAAATGGTAATGCTTCACAGGATTCCTGAATTCAACTGTGGTAATAAATACCTAACACCATGCCTGACCATACTTGGTTTATAGAAAAACACTGCCTCAACTCCAAAGCAGTAACATTTTGAAAATATTAGTATCTGCTACTTATTTTTCTCATTCTACTTATTTTCATATGTTAACTATTCACAGCACTTCTGTAGAGCTATTCACAAACATCATATCCAAGAGCAAACTGGCTAGAAGCCATTTAAAATACCAGTATTTGGGGCTGGGGATTTAGCTCAGTGGCAAAGCGCCTGCCTGGCAAGCGTAAGGTCATGAGTTTGGTTCCCGGTACCGGAGAAAAACCAAAAAAAAAAACCAGTATTTGGCATATAAATAATATTAACATACTCACTGTCATCCAAAGATCTCCCAGAATATCAACTTTTTAATATTTTTTAATGTAACAAATATATATGGTCCATAAAAAGATGAGTGCAGTAGCAAACACCTGTCAGAAATGAAGGCATAAAGACTCAAACAACTAGCTTCCCTTATAGCTAACCGAAGTTTTGAAGCACATATTTTTTGAGATTTTTTTTTTTTTTTTAAGACAAGGTCTTGCTTTGTAGTGTAGCTTGGCCTCAAACTCACACAGATCCTCCTACCTCAGCCTCCTGAGAGCTGGGATTACAGGCATTTGCCACCACACCAGGCTCAAGCATATATTTTCCCCTTTGGGGGACTATACCCTGCCCCATAGAATCTTTATACACCACTTATCAGCCTACTAATCCACCAGTTTGTACATATTTACCTTCTCAAGTTTTAGCTAATACTAACTACTCCTTTCCCTTCCATGCTTTTTCAGAAAGAGATGGCCTTCCTTTTCGTAAAGTCATAAAGTTCATGGATTTGAAAAAGAGGGGATGTCAAAGAAAGACACTTGGATCATTTATAAAGCTATGTTCATCACAATCTATTGGAGCAAGGCACACTGGTGAATGCCTACATAGCAAGCTGAAAACCAGCCCAGACTACACTAAGTGTGTCTCAAAAACCCAAAAGTAAAAAAACAAGAAGTTAAACTCCACAAAAATGATGCAAGCAAATGCTAAATGTAGAAACTGAATCTGTAAGTCCTGACTCCAAAAACATATTCAAAAACTACGTACCATTTAATAAACACCTAACAATGTGCTTGGTATAATAAAGGACCTAGAAACCTGACCAGAAACCAAAGCTTCAGAAAAAACAAAGTCGTCTAGAGACAGCATGGTAAAGTGGAACACAAGCTTTCCAGTCAAAGACAATCAGCACTCATGCAGGACTTCTGGGATAGGCACTGCCGGTAGCAAAAAACATTTTTTGAAGATTTATGTGGCAAAAAACAAAAAACAAGTGTATTTTCAGCCATCAAGAGGGAATCAAAGTTAAGTAACGAGAATAATTTTACTCAAAGACCTGCAATGCAAATCAAGGGTTTGAGATTCTAAATGTGAATTTCTTTTTCTTTACACCTGAGCCCTCTGCCTTTAGATTTCAAGTTACTTGACAACTATGCCACTTGGGATCAGTTACGTGATTCTTGGACCCTCACTTTTCTCACCTATTAGATGAAAACGTGCACCAAAAACGACCTTGAAGATCAAAAAGTAAGTGTGAAAACAGCTGGCAAAAACTGATAGCACTTACAGAGCCACTCAATAAATTACAGTATTCTTTTCACCTGAATGCTGGAGCGAGTGATTTACGAGAACGCGTGTATTTTATAGGCTGGATATTAGTGAAGAAGAGATCTTTTCCCGTTCATTCTTGTAACTCCTTCAGTGTCATGCCCATTGGCATAGTTTTTTCTTCCTTCCTACTCCTAAGTGTTAAAATGTGTATCTTATTCACCTCTTGTCTCAGTAGGCATTTGTATCTGTGAAGAGACAATCTGATTTACTCTCATTCGGATAGACAAGTGGTAAGAAAAGAAGGCTGTAAAAATTGCGTCACATTAAACTATTTCTCTAGGACGTGTAAATATTTACATTTTCGCAAATATTAAATATGTTTATCTGACCTACCTCCTTATTCATAAAGCCCTCTTTCAGATAGTTTTCAACCTCAGGTCTTAAAGATATTTTAGGAAAAATAGGCATTTTTTTTTTCCTGCTGAGTTCTTCAAGACGCTGAAAACGATAGGTTTTCTTTCCAAATTGCAGACAGCAGCTACCCACAGTGTCGAGAGCACCAGGCATCCGGGGAAATCGCGCCGTTCACGCAGCGCGAGAGCTTCTCGAGTTTTGCCGGATTAGAATCGGCTTCCTCGCTTCCAACACGCCAGGCTTTGGTCTTCTGAGGATGCTCGGGGAAATACTGAAGTGGAAGGCAGTGACACGTTGCAGAGAGAATCAAAGAAAAGGCTTAGTGTTTGCCTCCGTGGTTAACTAAACACAACTGGCAAAGAAGGGCATCACCTCCTCCACCGCTTCCAGTTTTACATCCTTCTTTCCAAACCCGCGCCCCGAACTTTTTGGCGGAAAGCCGGCTTCCGGTACGTCATTTCCGGTGCCTTCGCCCCAACCCTTCCCTCTTTGGCAACCAATCAGCAGCCGCAAATCTCTTCTACGTCAGGAAGGTCGCTGGTGGGGGTTCTGGGCGGGGCTTAAGTAGGCAATAGCCGGTAGCAGGAAAGACGTCGCTATCCTGAGTGAGGTGTCCAATTAGTGTACTTCTGGGTGACCTCCAACTAAAGGATGAGGGCTGAATTCACTTGGCTGCGTCAGCCACTTTGGGATTTTATGCAATTACTTTCTCCAGAGTACACATCTGACTTTTGAACCAATAGAGTCCATAATTTTGAAAGTTAGGTTAATGGTGTTTTAATATGCATGAGTGCTCAGGGAAAACTTAAAATCTACTGCACTGCCCCGTGACCATTTATATATAAGTGTAGCAAAAGCAAAGTTTTAAGTTTATTTTCTCATTAATTTTCACATGGAACTTTTTTCTAAGCATAATAGCTTCTTTCTATTGTAAGGGCATTTATAGAACAGCAGACCTGTAGGCATATTATAGCAAAAGTTAGAAATCTCTTCATAGCCTGTGACTATACTCATGCTACCTGTCACCTAGATATCCTTGACTATCTACTTCTCTTTGATAATGCACTGGGCCAACTTGACTGTGTCCAGCTTGTGTTTTCCTTAGTTAGAAAAATATATTTTGTTTCCAACTTGCTTCAAGGACTTTATGTCTGGGACACAGTGGCCCAGCTAAGGACCCATTTACCTCTGCTTGCTCCATTCACACCCCCTCCCCTCCTTCCCAGAATGTTAAACAATTCCTCTTAAGTAAACCTGCCTGACCAAATGTGACATAATTCTTGTATTCCATGTAACCATCATGTAATAACCTGCTATTAGCTTTGTAATTCCCACTAGCAAACCCTGTTTAAACTGAACTCAAAGCTGATTCTGGGCTGGTGACTTGAGCCTCTGAGTTCCCCAGCCCACTAGCATATAAAAGTTGGGTTCTAATTCCTCGGTGCAAAGGGTCTTCCATTTGGTTTGATACTGGTTTTTCCGCAACACTATGATAGAACAACTCTTCACCGGTTTCTGTAGAAAATTACTGTAGCAGCTGTTATGTAACATATACTACAAGGTAGTTATTATTATCTCTGTTTTAGTAATGAGTAAACCAAAACATCCAGAACTGAAATAACTCCATGTTCTCACAAATAGAAAGGTTAAAGGTAATAATTTGGCTTCTAAAACCAGTATCTTGTCTTTCTACCATACCGTATTTCTTCAATAAATGGATAGGATTCTTTTGTGCTTAAATCATTTGAACTTAATAAAGGAAATGTCTAGTCCAAACATTTCCAGAGGAATTTTGGCAGCCTCAACTTTGTGGTGACCTTACCAACAGTAATGGTTGCTACCTGTATTTGACAGGAGAAAGAAAAGAACAAGTTCAACTAGCTTATAACTCCTTGAGGATAGAGATTTTATTTCACCACTATATACCCAGTACCTAATACAGAATAGACACTCAAATACTTATCAGAAAACTAAATGAATACGTGGGTGGACACCTTTACAAAGTAGAGAAACACTAAACTGCTGATAAAGTGTGTATACTCACTGGAAATGAGTTCACTACTTCAGCACACTTGGGTAGTATTGAGGACAGTCAGAAATGGTCTCTCCTCCTAGGATCTAGATGCTTTGTTCACTATCCTGTTGCCCCTCCCTACTTAAGGACCCCCTCCATCCACCAACCCGTCACATCCTAAGCTCCACTTGAGTGATCTATATCTTTGCTACTGTTAATAATTTGACTTTTCCTTGATACTAGATTGCTAGGGTTCAGACTCCAGTTCTTGTAGCCTCAGGCATATAATTAAAATTCTTGTACCTTATTTTCCTTATTGGTTAAATAGAGATAATAGAAGCCTCAAAGTGTCACAAAAAAGTAAATAAAGTAGGTGATATGCTTAGAACAGTGCTGGAATAAAGTCAGCCCTCAATAAATGTTCAATAACATTGTCACTCATGTGTTAAGAGTCACTGTAGGATAGTGGAAGACAATTCAGGACAGAAAAACTAAATTGACCCAAATTCTGGTATGCCAAGAGGTACCTTGTCTATGTAGGGAAAGGGGAAGACGTCAAGTGTTTAATGAGTTGTTTGGAAATATTTATAAGAGGTTCCACTTCAGTGCATGGGATTATGGCAAATGGAAGAGGATGGGGTGAGGTACAGCTATTTCTGAAGAGAGGGGGACCTGGAAAATTTAAGAAATTTAATCAGCTTTAAAAAACCTCTGTAAACTTGTAAATTTACTAGCTACCCTGACTTCCACTGAGCAAGGTGGGAGAATCAGCAGGTGATAAAGTACTACAGGTATTAATGATCAATGTGTTGAGGTACCTGTTGGGAAAAGCATCTACTAATTATGGGAAGGCTAGTGATTTTGAGCCCTAAAGTGGAGAAGAAATTGTCATTCTGATTATGAACAAAGTCACAGATTCAAGGCTACTTTGACCAAGTAGATGTTTTGAAACTCAGAATACGATGTCTTCTTTGTGAACACAAAACATCAGAATTTTAGCCACATATTCTCCCTACTGTCCTGGATGCGATATTTTCTTTCATATCATTTATAGCCTCTAAAAAACATTTATTTCAACAGATATTACTCAACAAAATCATATTGGTTTCTTAGATCATAATGCAGAAGAGAATTTCCTAATAGGAAATCTGTCAATCCCAGCACATCTGGAACCTGACCAAGTAGACTAAAATCATAATGGAGATTATCTTAAAGATTGATGAGAGTTTAAAAAGTTATTTTTGAATGGAAATTTTCTTTCATCCATAATACTAAAAAAAAAAGTGAGTTTAATCACTAGCTGGCAGGATGCACTGTTGCACTCTCCTTTCAAGCCATGCAAAAGTGATCCAAGAGTAAGAAATTGAAGTTAGTTCTAGCTGCAACCAGTTCTTCCAAGTATTATCTAAAGTTAGTTTGTAATAATTCCTTCCTAGAAATATGAGGTATGGAGATATAGTTTTATTTTTTAAAGTTCCCTGAATTGTTCATTTTCCTTCCTTAAAATTTCAGTTCAGCATTTACACTTTATAAAAACATTCTGTGAAATGGGCAGATTTTACTGTATACATTTTCATTGAAGTTCTTTCAATTAACACAAAAAATAAGCCCAATGGTAGTATTATCTTTTTTTTTTTTTTTTTTTGATACAGGGTTTCACTGCGTAGTTCAGGGTGACCTTGAATTTATAGCGATCCTCCTACCTCTGCCTCCCGAGTGCTGGGATTACAGACATGAGACACCACAGCTGGCTGAAGTTTATTTATTTGTATAGCAAGAAGCTTGGTTTCTGTTTAGATAACACACAATTACATCCTGTTAATATTCATTTTTTCAACGGGGGCCAGTTTCTTTTCAGTTACTAAAAATTTGAAATCTCTAAATCTACAAATAAACTTTTCAACATGAACCACTATTAAATATTAAAGCAGTCCCACTGTCAGATAAATTATCATTAAAATGATGTTAAGAGTAAATTAAAATTTTAACTGATAGTTCTGCAATGCAAAATTGAGATATTTCACAGTAGAAGCAATAAAAATACCACAGTCCAGCTCAAATATACGCATTCTACTTAGTTAAAAGTGGAATAATAATTTATATTTATTATCAATAAAGTATCACTACACCATCATAAAATTAGGAAATCTGTACATTTTGCTTCAAAGCTCTGCCTTTTAATACGAATACTTTGTTTTTTCAGTGTTTCTTAGAAATCTGCAAGCCAGAATAAGTAGAATATGGTTTATATTTTTGTCTAATAACTGCAGAAGCTGTTAAGAGAATCTAATTTGTTTTCTTTAATAGTTAAGCTGTGACTAGAAATGTCCCTTTAAGTTTCTGTTTATTTAAACAAATATAAAATGATTTATATTTATGGTCCAACTGATGGTCCTTAAAGTTAAGCTAATTTGCATAGGCTCAGTTCATCCCCTTTGGTCGATATAAGAAGTTGAAACTTGCCTTTAGTATCTAAAGTTGGAGCATATTATCCTGTGTCTAAGTCTTAAAGGGTCTTTGAAACTTAGTACTGATAGGAAATAAGTCATACACTTTGAATAGGCAAGTATTTTTAGTATGTTGTAAGATCATGCTGGGCAAAGTTGAAATCCAACAGCCCGACTGAGGTCTATGGTCGCTTCAGTTAAGCCCATGCCAAGCCGTGAAGCTGTGTGTGTGCTTAAACTCTCATTTTGTAGCAGCAGGTATTCATTCTCTGGCTCCTCTCCCGATCAGTTCTATTCAGAATTAAGAACCGCAGCAGAACCCAGACCTCCATTCCAGCTGAGAGGGAGGGGGCATAAGAAAAACACACCAGTGCAGCTACAGGGCAGCAAGCAGCGACTGCTAACTCAGAAATTGCGGTCTTTCGCTATTTTTAACGGCCAGGGACGCTGTCAACCTAGAAAGCCATGAGAGTGAGTCCCGAAGCCCTTGTGAAGGGTGATAGGCGAGGGAACCGGCGCCAAGGGAAATTCCCCACTTCCCCATCCATTCCGGTATCTCCCAGAGACAACCCGCACCCCGGAAGAGAGGCGAAGGAAACGCCACGTCGATGGCGTACTTGTCGTAAGCGCGTGACGTCACGCGCCGAACTTCCGGCGATGGGCGGTCCTCGGAGGCCGAGGGAGGCGGGGCGGAGGTGGGGCTTGGGGCTGTTGGAACCTTCTGTGGGTAGGTGGGTTCAGACCAGGGGACTACGGGTCGGCGTTGGGCTCAGTGGCCTCGAAACAAAGGACTCTCGGTCGGCTCTCGACGCGGCGCCTTCTCCGCGGGGGCTGAACCGCGGGTCGCGGCTGCTCGGCTGACCGGTGCCCTCCCCGCGCGGGCTCGGTCGGCTTGTCCTCGGTCCCCACGGCCAGCGCCGCGGTGCGGGGCCCGGCTCGGCGGCACCTGCTGCTGAGGGAGCCAGCGGCCCGGCCAGGTGCTCGTGATGGGGCTGATCTTCGCCAAACTGTGGAGCCTCTTCTGTAACCAAGGTGAGGCGGAGCGAGCGGCGCGGCGGCCGCGGCCCGGCGGCGGGGCCGACGGGGG